GTAGTAAACTACAACATGTCAGAAGTACATACTCTCTGAAGAGCGAAAAGGCTGCTATTTTTTCCATCGCTTCTCTAAACATAGCTCTTCATCTCAACTCTTTGGAATGAACTTAGGAAAAATCATATTCACAACTTGAGAAAACAGAACCTTATTGATAAGATTGTTGTACGCAATATGTCAAAGATAGATGTTTGGAACATTTTCAGCTTTCTTACTTCAAATTCTGTTTTCTTAAAATCCTACTGAGAAACAGAGTTGGACATTAATTTCATCCATTTTGACAAACAAACCCTACCTTCCCCGCTCAACGTCGATGCCGTAGTGTCTGGACGTTTCTTCTGCAGCTGCTTCTATCACTCTAATGATCCCATCCAATTGTTGATTATGGCCAGGTTTTTCTGATTCATCAGCCACAGTGTCATCTGAGCCTATAAGGTGTAACTTTGGAGCGTTATTTGCTACTGTATGTTTCTCCTCTTATGATAATAATGGTCTAATCTTTCATTTTATGATTTTCAACGCTTTTTTGGGAAATTAGTCGTTTCTGTAGGTTGTTTCCTATCTTTTTTACTGTGATTTTTTCAGAGGAAATAAACTTGTACTGGTAAAGTCTCAGAAGAAGATTCAAGCCGATGCTAGGAGTGCAAATTCGCAGGTGGCCAGCTGTGTAGCGCTCTAATGAACACTATAAATTGTCTGCTGAATGTCTCGGCTAAAGTTTTGGATTTTGGCAACAATAATAAAGTCAAGGGTTATGTTTACCGTGATCGATGGATTCTTTATCGGTTGCTTCCACCCCTTCTAATTCTTTGTCTGCATGGAGATAGTCGTCCGTTGCATCCACGTCTGTAATGTACGGTTTTCTCAATAAATAAGGAGAAGAATAGCGGAACGTACCTTCGTCGCTCCCATAATCCCAGTCATCTCCTTCTGGGACAGCGTTTGTGTCAGTAACACCGCCTTTGCTCGTTGTAGTGTCCTCCTCCTTATTCATCTCTTCGCCCATAATCCTCTCCTTCTCAGCTCTGTCCATTTTCCGCCGTTCCTCTTCCCTTCGTTGTTCTTCTCGAATTCTCTCCTCCTCACGTCTTCCAAAATCCAAGCGTCTTTGCTCTTCACGTCTTCGCTCTTCCTCCTGATCACGTTTCCTCTCCTCTTCTTCCGCACGTCGACGTTCCTCCTCACGTCTTTTGGCG